CAGAGCACTGGAAATTCCACATGGCAGATATACATATATACTCACGCGTTCATTAAACGAGGATGAAGCTCTGTGCCATGGACAAGTCCCTGATCTTTTTTTTCGGTGACGTCCTAAAGGTAGAATGACTCCTCGTGAGGAAAGCGCAATCTCTCGGAGGAGATTTGGAGATCCCTTGCCGTTGATCGTCGATTTGTAAGAGATTGCGAGAGACGCGAAACCTCACTGTGACGAGATAAGGTGAAGCCGATTGTGCCACTTCGAGGCAACGTGCTGATCGGCGCTAGGCGGATGTAAACAAGGAGATCCCGAGCTTGCGCCCTGCCCGGAAGCCGCTACCGCTCTTTCTGTCCTTTCCGGCGGACTTCTTCGTCTTTACACCCTCTCTACCTCACTATATCTTCCTTTTCTCCTGTCGCGCTCTCGTATTGCGTGGCTCGGTGGTGTCCGTTCGCGTGTGCGTGCACGGTTGGGTCCGGGGTGAGTTTGTGCCGGCCGGCTGATCTGTCTCACTCTCAGTACGTCTGCGACGCTGCGCGGCCGCCTATGGTGGTGTAATGGCGACGCTCAGTTGGTTATGGGGGTCGCCGCGCGCGCGAAGCCACCCCCATGCAATGTGGAAAGGCGATCAATACCCAACTCCCGCGATTCCCGCTTTTCCACCCCGTGGACGTTCCTCTGTCCCCCTTCGACAGTGTACTGTTGCGCCTATATTGATGTCGGTGGTAAGCTCGGCGCTCTCTACTACGTAGGGGTAATAGCGATGACGATGGTCGTCGTTGCGTCAAAACTGCCTCGTGGAGCGTGGGTCTGGCTCTGCGAGACGATGGACGTGCAGGGAGGAGACAGAGGTTTCAGGGTTATTACAGGTGGAATGGTAGGGTTAAAACGCGAGCGCGTCGGGGAGATAAACTGCGCACGGTTCTTTGTCCTCTTTCTTTTTGCGATCGTGAAGCTTCGTGCTTGTAAAAAAAACACAAAACGGACTATAATTGAGGTATACAATTGATCAAAAATTGTTATAGATTTTAAAATTAAAGTTTTATCGCATTTTTTTCATCATACTGAAATTAATAAAACTGATAAATCCAAGCAGAACGAAAAAGTCCTGATGACATCAAACTAGCACCAGAATGATTATTAAAAGTCACATTTTGATCAGTCACTATAGATTTTAATGTTATCGCAATCTGTTATTCTCTTGGAAAGCTTATTCATATGAATAACATATGTAATAATAAAGAAGATATTGTTATAAGATGTAATTAACAATAAAATGCCTTTTATTTTTACGTTATCCCATTGAGTAACCGAAGCCAATTTAGAAGCAGTCTGGCGAGTCTATTGATTTTAAACATTACGACTTAAACGGCTCCATGTTACGATGGATACGGGGCTGTATCGCGGGGTTTGACTAAAATGCACCCTCTTCCGAGTGCCCGGAACCCGGCAACACGGAGGGGTGGATTTAGCTCGTAATTACGGGTACTTCCCCCATGGACGATCATCCTCCGCACTGTCTGGAAACGAGATCGCGTTGCTTTACAACGCATAATAACGGATACTGTTATTTCTTTGTCTTTGATTCTCAGTTTTCACGAAACATGAATATTCGCGTGCTGCTTATTTGCTTTTAATTTGCGGCTGTTCCGTCGAGAGGATCTCGGTGATGTTCTGTAACGAGGTTAATTTGCAAGCGAAAGTAGGGTAAACTTTTTACAGTGTATCTACCACATAAAATCCACTGACAGGCTATTTTTAATATTATGAAGCATTATAATTAAAATCGAGCTTCATGATCGTCGTAATCTCGTTCTATTGATTATTCCCTATCAAAAAGAAAAAGTTTTTTATTAATTTTTTTATTAATCATTTAGCTGCGACACATAGAGAATATTACTGAATTATTGATGAAAAATATAAATAGAAATATAGTGCAATTGCGCAATATATCTCTCCAACTTATTACTTTCTTAATAATTAATCATCACAAATGATGTTATCGATTAGCAAGAAATTTTTATCATCTATTTCTATAATTTCTTTCCATTACAAATTGGCTCAATAATAATGTATGCAACAAGTGCCAACGTGACTTGTACAAGATATTTGCTGCTAATATTCATAGTCGGTCTTTACTATCTTAAGTACAGTCTATTAAATTAAATAAAAATAAAAATCATTTTGTGACTTCAAAAAAATCAAATGTAAGTAAAATGCGCGTATGAGTCTCTGCGGTTGTTGAAATGCTTAAATAATATATTTATCAGATATAATTC